AAAAAAAAAAAAAAAAATTATGCATTTGCAAAATTGATTTAATACAGCATTTAAAATGAAGGAAAATATGCCTGTAAAATATGAATGTTGATACAGACTTTATGTTATCAAGAAAACCTTAAATAAAATTACTTTCTTGGCTATTTAAAAATAAATAAAATAAAAAATAAAAGTTGCAATTCATCTAAGTCCATAATTAGAAGGAACTTTTTAGCTTTTATTCCATAATAAAAGCCAAAAAGCAACCAATGATTAGTTCAATTGATGAGTAAAAGACCTTTAACAAAATTCAATACCTAATAAAAAACTAGAACTAGAAGGCAACTTCCTTTAGATTTATTGATGAGGTGTTTAAAGCATTTCATGTTGGGAATAATTCAAGGATTTCTGCTATATTCAGATACTATTTATCATACTGCAAATTCTGGACAGTGGAATGGGTAATAAAGGCATAAGAAGTTACATACTTTGCAAATCTAAAAGAATCTACAGATAAATTGCAATATGGCTAAATATTATAAAGTGATAAATACAAGTCAATATTAAAAACTCAACTTTATACCTAGTTGTCAGGGCACAGAACCCACAATGATACAACCCACACAGCCCCTTGACTAAAAAGATATTTTCAAGTAAAGCTACCAAGTTCATTGATGTCTTCTGCTATAGTTTGATTTGTTTGATGCCTCCAAATCTCATACTGAAATCTGAGCCCCATTGTTAGAAGTGGGGTTTAATGTGAGATGCTTTTGTCATGGAGCATTGTGAATAGATAAATGTCCTCTCTGGTCAGGTGGTGAGTGGAGTCTCATTAATTTCCATGAAATCTGGCCATAGAAGAGTCTGGCAGCTCCCTCTTTCTTGATTCCCCATCGCCATGTGATGTCTGCACATGCCAGCTCCTCTTTGCCTTCCGCGATGAGTGGAAGCAGCCTAAAGCCTTCAGCAGAATGTGAGCTAATGTTGGCTCTATGCTTCTGGCATAGCTCACAGAACCATGTACCAAGTAAACATCTTTTCTTTATAGATAAACCAGCCTCGGGTTTTCCTTTACAGCAACACTAAACAGACTAAAACACACAAATTACACAATTGGGTCATGATCCTGGTATATGCTTGGCTCTTTGCCACAACCTCACCTATGCTTTGAGGCCTAAAGGGAAATCTGGTAAAGCTTACCACTCTCTGTGCCTTTCTAAAAATTGATGGAGATTATTGCATTCCCCAGGAGGCAAGTGCCTCCTTCCTCAACCCATTGAGGAAGATAGCTTACCTCTCAGTCCTATTCCCTTACTCCATCTTTCCACTATGAATTCTTGTCCTGAGTTTTTGACTATGACCATATAACCACTTCCTTCCCTTGTGTGTCCACGTCAAATCCATATGTTGACACCCTAACTACTATTGTGATAATATTTGAAGATAGGATCTTTGGGAGGTAATTATGGTTAGATCAGGTCTTGAGGGTGGGCCTTATGGTGAGATCAGTGGGCTTATAAGAAAAAGATGATCTCCACCCATCGATCACTTGAAAGAACCAGGGAAAAGACCATGTGCAAGCCAGGAAGAAAACCCTTTCTGGGCATCAGATTGGCCAGCACATTGATTTTGGACTTTTCAATTTCCAGAACTATGAGAAATAAATTTCTGCTGTTTAATCTACCTGCTCTGTGATATTTTGGTATTGCATCCTGAGCAGACTAAGATTGTGTTATTGGGAGCGGGGCACTGCTGTAACCACTACCTAAGCATGTGGAAATAGCTTTTTAATTTGGTATTAAGTAGAGGCTTGGGATAGTTTAAGATGTGCTAGAAGTATAAATGTTAAAGGCAATTCTGGTATAGTCTCAGGTAGAAATGAAGAACATGTCCTAGGAAACTGGAGAACAGGTGATCCTTGTTTTTTTCTTTTTTCTTTTTTTTTTTTTTTTGAGAGAGAGTCTCACTTTGTCACCCTTGATAGAGTGCCATGGCATGTTAGCTCACAGCAACTTCAAACTCTTGGTTCAAACGATCCTCTTGCCTCAGCCTCCCAAGTAGCTAGGACTACAGGAGCCTGCCACAATGCCCAGCTATTTTTTGTTGTAATTGTTGTCATTTAGAAGGCCCAGGCTGGGTTCAAACCCTCCAGCCCTGGTGTATGTGGCTGGCGCCCTAACCACGGAGCTAAGGGTTCTCAGCTAGTGATCCTTGTTTTAAAGGAACTTGGCTAAACTGTGTTCTAGTGCTTTGTGGAAGGTAGAATATTTAACCAGAGAAATTTCTAAGCCAAGTGTTGAAGGATCAGCATGGTTTCCCCTATTGCTTACAGTAAAATGAAAAATGAGAAATAAATTGAAGGAGAAATTGTTAAGCAAAAAGGAAACAGAACTTAAAAGATTTGAAAATTCTCAGCCTATCCATAGCAAAAAAATAAGAAAGCATGTTTAGAAAAGAACAGTGATATGGTTGGACTATCATTTGATAAAGCACTTATGAAATTATAAGAGCAGAGACACTACTAGTTTGAACTGAAGGAAACAGAGACAAGATGAAGTAAAGGAATCCTGCCAGACTTCTTGATCTAGTAGGACTAGACCCTGGAGCTATTCAGTCTGGAATGCATGCTCTTCTTCAAGAAAAAGGACCCTGAAGGTGATTCAGTGATCACTGGGGCCATTGTCTCAGTTCCAACAGGCCATATGGCCTCTGATCAAGTCTGGGGGCTAGCATTGCTCTGTGGAGCTATAAGGATGTGGTGGCCAGATGGTTGAGGACACAACCTATACCTAGAACCATGAAGGGACAGTACTCAAGCTTTAAGATCTGACAGAACTCACTTTTCTAGGTTTTGGGCTTTTGGGGACCTGTCACTCTTTCATTCATGCCTCTTTCTTCCCTTTGAAATGAGAGTATCTATCCTATGCCTGTCCCACATTGAATCTTGGAAGCATATAACTTTAGTTTCAGTTTCATAGCTAAAAAAGGAGTTTTGCTTCAGGATGAATTATACCTCATCACTCACCCACATCTATTTAGATAAAGTATGGACTTTAAACCTTAGAGTTGATGCCTGAATGAATTAAACATTTGGAGCTGTTGGGATGGAGGGAATATTTTCCAAGTAAGGATAGGAATTTTGGGAGGCAAGGTGCAGAATGTTATGTGCTGAATTTTTGTGTCCCTCCAGAATTCATGTTGTGACCCTAATTCTATTGTGATGGCATTTTGCATTGGAAGCTTTGAAAAGTAATTAGGTTTGAAGTAGGATAGGAGTGTGGGGTCCTCAAAATGGGATTAGTAGGCTTAAAAACAGAGGAAGCATACTCTATCTTTCTCCCTCCATGTACACACTAATGAGAGGCAATGTGAAGACACAGCAATAGGTATCCATCTGTAAGACAGGAGAACACCGTCCCAGGACCAAATCAGTCAGTGTCCTAATCTTGGACTCCTCAGCATCCAGTACTGTCAGAAGTAATAAATTTATGTTTGTTAAACCACCTGATCTATGATATATTGCATGGCAACCCAAGCAGACTAAAATGCTTGGGTTGCACACAAATGCCATGGCTTTACATATACTTCACAAAACTGTCATTACATATCCCAGAACAACATAGCTGCTGGAACTGCAAACTTGACCCCAGAATACACCAATATATCTCGTCAAAAATTATATATATTCATACTTTCAAGACAGTTTATGATTTCACAAAGATGTTGTTCAAGGTCCCAGAAATTTCAGATATATTTCAGATCTACATTTAGAAGAAGATAAAGTTAGATCCCCACCACACACCAAATCTAGCCAAGCAACAGTTTAAAGGACAGGAAGACCTGATGCCATGCTATGTTCTAAGAATAGACAAAGTCTTACCATTTGGCTGTGAATCAATCTGGTCTGGAGCTTCTTCTTCCGTGGAAGATTTTTTTTTTTTTTTTTTTTTTGCAGTTTTTGGCCAGGGCTGGGTTTGAACCCACCACCTCCAGCATATGGGGCCAGTGCCCCACTCCTTTGAGACACAGGTGCCGCCAAGTGGAAGATTTTTTATTACTGCTTTGACCTCACTGCTCATTATTGTTCTGTTTCTTTCTGATTGAGTCTTAGGAGGTTGTGTATTTCCAGGAATGTGTTCATTTCCTCTACATTTTCTAGTTTATATGTGTAGAGATTTTTGTAGTATTTTTGAGTGTGCAGATGATATTTTGTATTTCTACAATATCACTTGTAATATCCTTTTTCATTTCATTGTCCTTTTTCATTTCTGATTGAATTTATTTGAGTCCTTTCTCTTCTATTCCTGCCTAATATAACAAGAGGCCTATCAATTTTGTTTATCTTTTCAAAGAACCAACTTTTTGTTTTGTTCCTTTTTATTGGTTTTTGTTGTTGTTGTAGTTGTTTGTTTTCAATTTTATTTAGTTCTTCTCTAACTTTAGTTATTTCTTTTCTTCTGCCATGTTTGGGTTTGTTTGTTCTTCCTTTTTTAGTTCCTTGAGATATGTGTCATTATATTCTTACTTTGTGATCTTTCTGTCTTTTTGATGTAGGAATTTAAAGCTATGAATTTTCCTCTTGGGCCTGCCTTTGCCAAGTCACATATTTTTTGGTAGCTTGTGTCCCTTTGTTTCTCAACTTGAGGAATTTTTTTTTCCATCTTGATTTTATTACTGACCAAATAATTGTTCAGCAGCAGGTTGTCTAATTTCCATGATTTTGTGTATGTTTGTTTCTGTTGTGATTGATTTCTCATTCTGAGAAGATAAATGGAATGATTTTGATCTTTTAAATTTGTTGAGACGTGTTTTGTGGCCTAAGATATGATCAACTTTGGAGAATGTTTTACATGCTGATGAGAAGAATGTATATTCAGTATTTGTTGCGTAGAATACTCTGTAAATATCTCTTAATCCCGTTTGTTCTAAAGTCTGGTTTAAGTCCAGTGTTTATTTATTTTCTGGTTCAAAGATATGTCTATTTCCTTCAGTGCTGTGTTGAAGTCATCGGCAGTTTGATGCTGCCGTTTATCTCTTTGCTAGTGGAATTTGTTTTATGAACCTGGGTGCTCCTGTGTTAGGTGCATATATATTTAGGATTTGATGTCTTGTTGAATTGCTCCCTTTGCCATTATATGATGACCATCTACCTTTGTCTTTCTCTGCCATTGGTAATTGAAAGTTAAATTTTATCTGATATGAGAATAATTACAACTGCTGTCTTTTGGGCTCCATTTGTGTAGAATATTTTATTTTTCACCCCTTCACCTTAAGTCCATATCAATTTTTGTGGGTTGGAGTGTTTCCTGGAAATAGCAGATACTCAGCTTGTCTTTTTTCAAAAATCTATTCAGCCACCCTATGTATTTTTTTTTTTGAGTGGGACATTGAGACAGTTCATGTTGAGTGATAGAATTGATATGTTGGACACTCTACTGTTCATCCTATTCAGTAGTACCTTATTTCTTTTTCTTCTTGTGCTATTATTTTATGAGATCTGATAGCTTTAGCTTTTAAGTGATTTTATACTAATAGGTGTCTTTGTGCTGATCCATGTATGAGTATTTCCTGCAGGGCAGGTCTGCTTTGGACAAATTCTCTTACTGTTTGCTTGTCCAAAAATGTCTCTATTTCTTGTTTATATATGAAAATTAATGTTGTAGGATACAAAATTCTGGACCAGTAGTTGTTCCATTTAAGACCAAAGATGGCACCTAATCCATTCTGACTTGCAAGGTCTCTGCTTGCTGAGATGTCTTTGGTTAGCCTGATGGGTTTTCCTTTGTAAGTTACTTAATGTTTTTACCTCACAGTTTGTAGGAATTCCTCCTTCTTGTTGACTTTGGCCACTCTGATAACTATATGTTTCAGTGATTGCTTCTTTGTAATGATTTTCCCAGGTTTTTGTTGAGCTTCTTGTATCTTGATGTCTTTATCTCTAGGAAGACCAGGAAAGTTTTTCCCAATTATTACCTCAAATGATTTTTCTAGCCCTTTTGCTTTTTCTTCTTTACTCTCAGGAATGCCTATGATTCTTATATTTGGCTTTTTTACATAATTACATGTTTCTCATAGGCTTTGTTCTTTCCTTTGGATTCTTTGTTCTTTATTTTGACTGATAGGGCTAATTCAAAAGAGCTATCTTCAAGCTCCAAAATTCTTTCTTCTGCCTGGTCTAGTCTATCCTTAAAGCTTTCAATGTGTCCTATTTCCTTAAATTAATTTTTTTTATTTCAAGAAGTTCTATTTGTTTTTTAAAATATTTCTATCTCTTTCGTAAATTTTTTGTTCATTTCCTGAATTATTTTTTCTGATTTCTTTGAGTTGGTTTTCTATTTTCTCTTGGATTTCATTGAGCTTCCTTACAAACAATCTGTATTTGGAATTTTTTATGCATCATTTCAATATTTTCATTTTGGTTGGGATCTATTGCTAGAGCGCTGGTGTCCTCCTTTGGGATTGTAATTTTACTCTGATTTCTCTGGAATTCTTACACTGATGCCTTCTCATATACAGCAGATGTTGCTTCTTCTTTGGGGATTTTATTTTGTTTAGATAGGGCTTCCCACACACACACTCTTAAGCGTGTGTCCATAGCATATGTTCAGTAGAACCTTTGTCTTTTCTTGTGGGTGCTTTGATGGTTGTCTAGGTTCTGGGTGGATGCTTTCTTTACAGGTATCCTTGGTTGGATGCCAGTTGCTAGTTATTTGTGAGCTTTGGCATTGGTAAGCTATATGTGTGGCAGATTCCATGTCTCTCTTTGATGAGGGAAGATGGAAGTCTCTGAAATCTTTTCTCTTTCTCCAGCCCTGTGGTCTTCCTAACAGCATGAATTATATTGGGATTCCCAGTTTAATCTCTGAGATAGTTGCTTGTGAGCAAGAATCAGCCACATGCTGTATGATTGGATCATGAAATGCTGTAAAGGGTTGTACAAGTTGTCCTCCCTGCCATTAGGTGATGCTTATCAGAAATAACCACCTGCACTCTCATTTTCTTGGGCCTTGTGATAGCTCTAGTCAGGAGGGCCACTCAAAGGCCCTAGGTGGTCTACAGGGCCCTGGGGGCTTCCAGTGAGTCCTTACTCTGCACCATAGCATAGGTATGTAGAGGAGGTAGTCTGGGCAGGATTGAGTCAGGTGAGCTGCTCTCAGGCCCTGCCAAGACTGCAGAACAGCTATCTTGGCTGGGGTTGAGGGCCCACTCCCAGGCCACTAGTGAAGACCACCAGGGAGGGGCTGAAGCATCCCTAGACAGTCTGCTTGTCTGAGACTCACAGCCTGGCTGTCTGGAGCAGCTTTAGTTCTTCTCCTCCATGCTAAACACCAACATTTTAATAATTGCTAGTGTTCAGTCAGTTCTGACATGAAAAGTTACTCATTATAGTCATTGTTATCTTTTTAAAAATTTAAATAATTTTTAATGACCCTTTTCCCCTTTATACAAATTTAAGAAGCTACCTAGGTTACATTGACAATGCTGAACTGCAATAAATTTATAGATTAATATTGGAGGAGTTGCCCCCTCAGAGTTGAATCTTCCCTACTACTGTCACATTAAATCTCCATATTGCATTAGGTCATCTTTTGTGTGTGGCAAATTCCACACACAATCATACAGCATGTGGCTGATTCTTGCTCACAAGCAACTATCTCAGAGATTAAACTGGGAATCCCAATATAATTCATGCTGTTAGGAAGACCACAGGGCTAGAGAAAGAGAAAGGATTTCAAAGACTTCCATCTTCCCTCATCAAAGAGAGACATGGAATCTGCCACACATATAGCTTTAGTAGTTTGCAAATTTTCTCCATAAATGTACAGTTTTTGGTAGATTAATTCCTAGGGCTTTTCTCTTATTATTTTTGTGTCCATTTTAAATGAGTGGTCTTTAAACTACATTTTCTATTTTATTGCTAGTGATTATCAAATCTGTGTTTTATTTTAAACATATTAATTTAAGGCCATAAGTCTTTTTTATCATTAAATAATCATATTTGTTTCTAAATCAAAAAAGAAGAATTCCACAGTTTACATCTTCTCTCCATTGTCTTCTTGCTATCTGTATAGTTTTCCTTTATATATCTTACATTACTAAACTTTAAATAGGGTCTAATAAGAATTCCTTTTTTAAAAAAATTTAATATTGGACCTCTTCTTTCTCACTCTTCTTTTCTTTATTAGTCTAGAGGTTTACCTGTATAGGTTTGATATTTTATTTTGTTAGTTTTTTCCCCAATGTCTGTATCTTCTTTGCTCTTTGTATCATTATTTCTGCTTTGTATTCTCATTTCACTTATGTTTTCTTGAAGTTTGCTTTCCTATGTTTTTCTAACCTTTTTATTTTTTTATTTTTATTTTTTTTTTTTTTTTTTTTTATTGAATGGTAACTGTGTACATTGATGCACTTTGCGGGTACAGTGTGGTGTTTTCATACATAATCCAAGACA